TCGCTCGAAGCGCCGCAAAGGTGATGCCCCCATTTCCAAGAGATAACGACCACATAAGAAACATGGGATTTCCACTCCCTAACAAAAAAAAAAAAAAAAAAAAAAAAAAAAAAAAAAACCAAACAACAAAGAAGAGGAACACAAGTCAAGGCAACAAAAGGATATACGATGCTGACCCTTCACCGTCGGTATCAAACTCCTCGGATCAAATTCCACATCACACAACCCAGATTCCTCAATCCTCTTCGCCATATTTGCAGTCATTGCGAAACTCTCACACGTAGGATTCCAAACTACGGGAACATCAAAAGTGGGAGCCCTCACGTAAAAAAAATAGGTCTTCCATTTCCCCAAAGATAGCTTCACACTCTTCACGAATTGGTAATGAACGCGAGGATGAAAGCAAAAGAAAGGCATCTTATTGGGCCGATGTAACGTAAATAACGCCTTAAATAAACTCACAGACACAGGCAGACCTACTCGAGCCACCCTAAAATGAAACGCCTGGAAAATCAGAACAGCACTGGGCGTTAGCTGACTATACCCAATCTTGAATTCCTCACAGACCTTCAACAAGGTCGGATGCGGTGTAATCTGAGATGTACACGTCAAGTAACCTAAAAACACCGTATGAAATCCATCGGGTGGCGAATACAAACGGTCACCCTTCTGAGGCAACAACAACTCAACGTTACTTGGCGCTCCAGATAAACGACGAATAGAGTGCAGATGCTCTTCCGTCAACACACTATCAAAATCAACTAAGTCCAAATTAATTGGCTTAATTTTCTTTTGCTTCCTTTTATCAACCTCAACATCACCCGGCGGAATATCATCTTCCTCCTCCTCTTCATCTTCCTCCCCCTCTTCACTACTTGGCACCGCATGATCACTCGCCAAAGGGGCTCGATTAGAATCGTCACTATCGCTCCCGAAATCCACAATTTGACGTCGAGAATTACGCCTACTAGCCACAACTCCATCTAATTGCTCACTAACGTGAATACCCATTTCTACATCGTCGCTCCAAGATTCAATAATTTCTCGCCTAACGGCACCCCGAACATTCACATCATCTTCAACGAAATTTCTCTCCTCAGATCCCTCGACCCGCTCACGAAAATCGCGTTGAAAAACGGGTCCCGACGCTCTCTCACGCGCGCGCGTCGGTTCAAGCAACCCACACCCACGCGCGCGCTCCCCTGTCTCAGTCGCGCAGCCACGCGGCAGCAGCTCTCCATCCGACGCGCGCGCACGCGCCCCTTTATTGGGCAGCGCGCGCGCGTCACACATAACACCCAGCCCAGCCACCCCCCCTCCACGCGCGCGTCACTGAACGGGCCAATCCCGCGCGCGCGTGGACCCATTCCCGACGCGCGCAGCACACCTTCCCCATCATATGACGCACGCGCACGTGCCTCGATTGGCGACCCTGACGCGCATGTCAGCTCTCCCTTCTCTCTCCTCTCCTTGGCAACCGCGCGTCCCTCCATCATTGGCCCACGTGGACTAGCAGCCTCTTCTCTCCTCTTCTCCTTCCCGAGACAAGCCGCCGGCTCACGGCTCCAGCTCGGCTCCTCACGTTCCACGAGAGAATTCCTCTCACCAAATTTGGACCGGCTAGAAACACGGCTTGAGCCGATCTCAGCAACCGAGCCACTTACCATGTCCATCTGCACAGAATTGCGAGTACCACCTACCGCAAATCCGATTTCCCCATCCGATACTACTACCTTCTCACGTTCCATGCCCACGGAACCAAAATTTTTCTCTCCCCCTTCAACCGGATCTCGAAGTTTAATTCGTAAAGATTTTGACTTACCCGGATTCGACATGATAAATATTTTCCTCCAAGCAAACAATCAAGAAACACAAATCTCTACTCTACCGCGAAATTTTTTTCAAAAGAAGAATAGCACAGAAGAAGACTTAGAATAAAAAGTACATACCCATATTTATTACGCAGGAGTTGAAGATTAATTCTTTCCACAGCAGAAGGAGTCTATTTATCTGGACTGGTATATTATTTAAAACCCTTAAATATATACCTCGCTGCCAAATAAAGATAATTATCCCTTATTTAAAATAAGGAATTAATTCACCAACGGAAACAATTCAATCCACGACAAAATTAACTCTCGACACGACCCGGATCCCTCTACACAAGTCCCCGTCTCGAATCGAGAGTTGGGGGGCTTAATGATATACCTAAATGGGCCGGCCCAATGGGCCCCCAAAATTATCTACTAATTAGGCCCATTACACGAAAGCCCAAATAACTTCAAAGTAGGGCTTGGGCCCAACAAAATAAGCCCAACCCAATTACCGATATATAAATAGGTGTTTTACTCATTTAGAAAGGTACGTTCTCATTATTGACGATTAACCTCGAGTTTTATTCTCTCTACTCTCTCTACGATCCGTACATCTGACTTGAGCGTCGGAGGGGTTTCCGCCGGATCAACCCCCGGCTTAGTTCACGTGTGCTCTTTTCGCAGGGACCTCAGGAGCATCGAGTTGACTAGCTACTGATCAGCTTTGCTCTCCCTGCTTGTTTTCTACATCATCCTAGGTGAGCTACACTTTAGCATCATCAATATATATATATATATATATACCTTCTATCTGTATTCAATTTTTTCTCATATTCGAATTTCCGTCTCATAGTTCCGCCTGACAACGGTGTTTCTCGAAATCATGAACTTTCTCTCCAACGGTCAGGATTTGATGGTTTAACTACCATTGAATTCCTCTCGCCGCTCTTTCTCTAATGGTATTTTTTGATGTTTTGGAGCTCTGGAGCTGCTCCGTCGGTGGTTTCACCGTGTATTTCGACGACGGCAGTTCTTTTTCAAAAGATAACTTGTTTTCTGGCAGTCAGAAGTTAACGGGTTACAAACCGTTAGATTCCGATCTATTTTCAGTGGTCTTTAACTACCATCGAAAATGTTGAATGCAACTAGGTGATCAAATTTGCATATAACTATAGTACAGTGCTTTTAATTTGCTTCTCCAAATGCATTCATAATAATGAATTAGGGTTGAGTTTTTTTTCGTTTATTAAGAGGCCAATTGCCTCGAACTAAAAAAAAAAAAAAATAATCCGACAATATAATATATTACAATGGAAATGAAAAGGATAATCTCCACGGACATCCTCTGTGACTGTTCCTATCCAATATAAAGAAGCATAATATAATGTATCAAATTAAACAATAAAAATAATAAATAAATTTCATTAAAGTTAATGAGATAAAAATCATGCTATTCAACATGCACAATTATTAGGTGTTGGTTGGCTTTATAGCCATAGTGTAATAAATTGGGTGTTCCCAGCAAAGTCATGTGCATGCAGTAAATACAATACAGTTTCGTCTCATCAACCATCTCACCCATTCTTCTTTTCATCTAATTAGTGTATCTATCGACCATCGTACGTACGAGATTGCCCCTACCATAATTGCACAAAATCCATTACCTAGAAACAAGTATGTGGAGGGAAAAAAAAAAGGGTAATTACGCCCACTTTGAAGTAAGATCAAATTACGAAAAAAAAAAATTCACTTTATCTAGATAATTGCAACTATTCATATCAAGTGTGAATAGGGGCGGACCCAGAATTTTTTTTATCGCAGGGTCAAGAATATGGGGTGATTTAAAAAAAGAAGAAAAACCTGTACTAAAAGTGTATAGAAATAAACTTTGGGGGCGAAAGTCTATAAACTAATAGATAAATGCCCTAATAATAATAATAATAATAATAATAATAATAATAATATATCTTTTTTCAGTAGGGTCGGGGCCACCCCTACTCTTTTACTAAATCCATCCCTGAATATGAATCTTCTTACATGCTCATCATTATAGTGTCAAATTCAATAGAATGTTCTAGATTTTGTGGAATGTTCTTTAGTTTGTACTCGTTTTATGCAAAAATGCAGTTTCTGATGCACCACAATTTTATATGGACAAATCAAAAGACACATCTTATGATTATCTTGTATCCAAAATGTGGAGCTCGAATGGGATAAAATGTGTTACAAATCGGAGAATATTCCACATAATTTAGAAGATTCGACTAAATTTGACACCATAAAGATGAACGTATAGAAATATTCATAGTTGAGGTGAGGATTTGTAAGAGTAAACTGCAAATACTACCCCTGTGTTATCTCGAAATAGCAAAAACCCCCCTGTGATAAATAAACTAGCAAAAACCCCCCTGTGAAATTTAGTCAAAGGCAGAATCCCCCCTAGCTGATTTTTTAGACTTGAAATGACAAAATTGTCCCTCAAAATGTATTTATATATATACATATTATATGTATATTTATTCTTTTTAATTTATTTGTTTAGAAATTAAAAAAAATAGTAAACAACTAAATTGATTATTTTTTAAATAAAATAATTAAAATATTTATAAAATATAAGAATTTATTAATTGCAAGACTCCAGGGGTATTTGTGTCTTTTTATATCAAGTCAACCCTCAAATAGTTCCATAGGCGGGTTTTTGCTATTTAAATAATTTCACAGGGGAGGTTTTTGCTAGTTTATTTATCACAGGGGGGTTTTTGCTATTTCGAGATTATACAGGGGTAGTTTTTGCAGTTTACTCGGATTTGTAATAACCGGAACATGAGATGTTTTTTCAGCATTTGACATTAACTCAGAGATGGCCCTAATTAAAAAAAAAAGATAATAAAAAAAAAAAGGAATCCAATAATAAATATGAAGAGCATTAAATAAAATGCATTGAAGAGTCTCAACTGCACACTCTACCTGTTTCCTCTTCTCAATGGTCTTTAAAATGAAGAGGGCCAATCCACATTCTTTCAGGTGTCGACTAAGGATTTGTGATTGCTTATTTTCAGACAGCAAAACCAAGGGTTTGTTTCTTGATTAGTGTGTGTGACTGTGTGTATTTATATATATATATATAGAGAGAGAGAGAGAGAAGGAATGGCGGCGAGGTGGGTTTTCGTGTTTTTTGTTGCTCTTCTTGTAGCCCGTCAGGCGGCGGCGGCGAGGGTTGTGCCCGCAGGTGACAACGGTCTCTCCGATCAGAAGAACTTTCTCTCTTTCGGCGGCGTTGGTAACTACGCCGGCGTCGGAGACAACGGCATTCTCTTCGGCGGCGTCGGCGGGGGCGTAGGTGGTGGTGGCGGCGTTGGTGGGAGCAATAGTGTAGGCGGCGTTGGAGGTATTATTGGAACTGGGCCCGACGGTAGTCTTGGTGGAATCGGTGGCGCCGGCAGCATTCCTGGTGGAATTGTTGGCGGCGTCGGCAGCATTCCCGGCGGACTTGGCGGCATCGGCAGCATTCCCGGCGGACTTGGCGGCGTAGGCAGCATTCCCGGTGGACTTGGCGGCGTTGGCAGCATTCCCGGCGGGATTGGTGGAGTAGGCAGCATTCCCGGTGGCATTGGCAGCATTCCCGGCGGAATAGGTGGAGTTGGCAGCATTCCCGGTGGCATTGGCGGAATCGGCGGGATTAGCGGCGTTGGTGGAGGAGCAGGTGATGGCGCCGCCGGAGCTCTGCCATCCCCTTGAAAAACTAGGGTTGTGTGGTTAATGAGATGTTGCTCTACTTTCTACTTTGTAGTGTGTTGTTATTAGCAAGAATCTTTTGAATTTTAGTGTAACTGTGTGATGGTTTTCTTATCTTTTTTTTACTATCTATTTTAAAGTGTGCTAAATCTTTGACCTTTTCTAATGTTAAGTTTCTTTTAAGTTTTAATCAAAATTTGTGCTAAAGTTTTATCATGCAATATCAAGTGTTTATCAGGATTTAAATTCGAAAGAATTAATTTTACTAGAAAAAAATATAAAGAGAAGAGAAGTGGTAGTGTAATATCTCTTTACAATGTGGAAATTGGTGAGCTCAGGTTCGAATTAATTTGGGTGCGTGTGTTGTAAAATCACGTTGTAAGATTGTTTTGAAGAAATGAATTTAAGGCTGGTCTCTTAGTTCTTTTGTTGGATGAAATTTGCACGTTTTTGCATTTTACAACTTGAAACGACCATATCAACTCCATTTAGTTGTTGATGTCAATTTTTTAGCCAAAATTGGACTGACATTCACAACACGTGTGTTCCATATGAAAAGAGTTGGGGCAAATTAGTCTTTTCGTCCCACTCCTTAATTACTCCCACTTTTTGCCATGTTATTTTCGCTCCATTTCGATTCTTCCCTCTTTATTAACATATGTTGCCCTAATTTTGATTCACCCCATCTCTTTTCTTCTCACATTCGAAGTCGTGTTTGCCCAACTTAAGGATTTGACATGTCACTGTGCAAAAAAAGCTAACCATGAAAATCCATGGACTGACCTCAATTCGAAAAGGAGATACTCGAAATCGGAAAAAGTTTCTTAGCAAATTACCTATGTGTTGTAAATAGTATGGAATGTGTGGTTTCCTAACATAACCACTTGATGGTTTTCAACCTCCCACTAGTGTAAACTTCCCACACCTTAGTCCCATGATGTGTGCAGGAAATAACTTCCATGGAACTTCCATTTGTAACTCCTCCTTGTAACTTCCGGTGGCTTACACCTATATTAATGAGAAAAACTCCCTCCCCATGGATACCCACAATTTTCTCTCTACGGATTCTTGTTCTTTGCATTCTCTCATTCGCTCTCCATTATCGTTATTATGTTCTTATGTATTTCCACAAACACAAACCAAAGAGCTAGATAAATAGGCCATTTTACAACACGTTATCAGCACGAAATGCTCGTTGTGATTGTGGAAAGACAATCGTTCGTGGGACTAGGATACTTGAAGAATTTGTGATTCAGGTGCTCGTGAAAAATGAACCATTTTTGGCACGTGGATGCTTGAAGAACTTGTGATTCGAGTTCGTTCGTGAAATGGTAATCTTGTTCGATGAATACAATATATTCTTCAACATTTGGGTTTAAGCGTTTCAAGTAAGCCGTAATCCCTTGCAATTTCGATTTCATAAGAGATGCACTAGATCTATTTAATGGCATGAAATGCATGAAGTACATATTTATCTTCAAGTCATTACTTCATCTATACTGTGGATAATTTCAAAATATGATGTGATTCGTAATTATTGGAAGCATGCTTAATTATGTTACAGTATGGTATAAATATCACAATGATTGTTTTTGGTATGTGGTGTAGCAAATTATTTTATCATTTGCATTCATTCCGGATTCAATGAATAGCGACGATAAATGTGTGATTGTATATTGTCAAATGATTATAGTACCTTGCTGGTTTATTTCATGTTTCGAGGATTTGATATGAAATTGTATTATGAATGTTTTATCATAATATTTTAGAATACAGTGCACTAAGAAGCTTATGAATAAATATGCACTGTAGAATGAGGGGTGAATATATTTGATGATGAATGTGAAATTGTTTATGTTTCTTACTGAACGTGATTGTAGGCATATTAATATTTTGTTTTCTTGGTTGAATTTGTATTGCATGAATTGTTAGAAAATTTTGCTACAATTACTTGGTCATTTGATTTTAAGATGATCTAATGCACTGCTGATACTTGATAACATTATGGATCTGTTTAGTTAATTCATGATTACCTACCGGAATAATTTCAGAATTAGTTCCTTGAATTTATATGAGATTTTACATGCTATATATTGTTTATATTATTTAGCATGTTATATTTTGTATATTTGACAATTTACAAAGTCTTAATTGCATGAAGATTTTGGTCCATCTCTAATGGAGAATTTTATTCAATTGATCCATATTTGCCATATGTAATTTTGTGATATGAAAATGGTAAACAATATTTTGTTTGTCGTTATGGTTTATCGTATGAAATCCATGAATGTGTATGAACATGTGGTGTATGAATTATTAGACCGGAAGTTCTAATATGTGCAAAATATTCATGAAATTGTTTATGGAGGTTACATTCCCATAAAACAATAATACTCATTATTCTATTTGATTTGAGATGAAACACATGAGCAAACTCGAGTTTACCCAACTTAATGTACTTGGTGAAAGTTTTTTTTTGGTTGGAGAATGGATGTTAAGATCCATAAGCTTAGTGAGCAATTGAGAATGGTTGTTTTCGAGTATAATTTATTAGGTAAATAAAGCCCAGAAGGCTGAGACTATGTTTCTGATTACGAGATAATTAGATGAAATCCTTCGTTTGGAATATTCATCGAACGAGGGTCCTCATAAAGAATGGGATACCCTGATTAGTCGTTTTGATTACCAAAAGACAATACGCTTGCCTGAAGCAAGGAGCAAATGTTCATAAACGATTTGTATATGACCTTTAAAATCCGAATAGAGCTCAAAATCATAACATAAATATATGTTTTATATATAGTGGATCTAAGAATTGGTCGCGCACCTGAAGTGCGAGGAACATTGGGGTTGGGTATGCAAATAATAATGCACCAACATCGACTGATTTGGTAGATGTTAATATCTCGTGGAGGCCGTTACTCAACTCCCATACTTGGGCACATCTGACCAAATGATCCAGGTTGGGATATGATTGAAGTGTTGATTTCATGAAATATGCATCATGCTCATTTATGCTCTAGCTATTAGTGTATAGAATTTCAATCATCGCATTTCATATGCTCATGTTATGAACTGTATTCGTATGTGGATCATGTTTAGTTTATGCTCTGGACCATATGTTTATGTCACTATGTGTTCTAAGTTAATTATTATGTTATTCAGTGGTGTTTGCTTGTTGAATTTGTTTAGTACCTGAAGTACTGAATATATATGATTAAATTTATATAACTCTGTAGACATGACATGTGGGGATAAATGTCTGGCAGATAGTGCGACTACACATACTATCCTTAGAGATAAGTCGTATTTTTATTAATTTCATGTCTATTTGTAGGAAGACCTCTTTGATAACTAAATGAGGCACATGTAGTTTTGATAGATGGTTATGGTAATGTCTACATTATGTTATTTTATGGCACAGTTTTGCCCATTGAAGTAGCTCAATTTTTTTCTCCACGTTCCAGTAGAACGTTGTTAAACTTTAAAGATATTTGAGCTAATGGTTATTATGTTGAAATCATTGAAGCCAAGAAATTGAATATATGTGCATCATCTCTAACATGTACGACCAGAAGCTTACATTGGGAAAATTAGAGGAATTTTTCGACACGGTTATGTAGAACCACAATTTGTATGCCAGAAGCATAAGTTGTCGATTGCTCGAAATCAAGTAATTTGATTATATGTCAGCATACGCACATACATATAATGATTCAATTCATTTCTTGGAGGTAATCCAAGGAGATATATGTGGACTATGTATCACCATCTTTAACTAAAATTTAAAACCTAATATAGGCGATCTCTTACCCGCTCAAATTGCGGACTGTCACTTTGATGAGACTGTCTTCCCGCCGTTAGGGGGAGGAAAGAACGTTCACACTACCGTTCCTGAAGAACGGCGTGAAGTCGTGTGAGACGACCCCACAGTGTCTCATCAAGATCCCCTACATCAGAGAATTGATCATAGTTTAATAGATCATCCATACTAATGTTCCTGAAGAACGACGTGAAGTCGTGCGGGATGAAAATATAGATTTGCAAGTAATGTGCATCGTAACGTTCCCGAAGAACGGCGTCAAGTCGTATGGGACGACTTAGAAATCTGAAAAGAACGTCCATACTAATGTTTCTAAAGAACAATATGAAGTCGTGTAGAACGAATAATGCCAGACTCATTCTCTGATTTGAAAAAGTGACGAGATCTCAAGTAAGCCAGCAATGGCAGATGTCCTAGAAGGACAATTACGGGTAGGCCATCAATCCATGCTAACTAGTCTTGCCTCCCTTCCTAGGATAGGGGGAGCGCAATGGGACCAAATGATTTCTCACCCCCGGAAGTGGATGAATGTCCAACCATTGAATCCGGTTAGCACTAGTATAAATGGGATCCCACTTGATCCATCTCATAAAATAATTCCGGACTATGGATTCGTCCTGCAGACGAAGTCGGGGGACGCCTCGACATTAATATCCATTCCGTGAATAGTAAAAACTCGGTTAGTTATTCATGCATGAACGAGATGTGGTATTGGGATGAAATGATCATCGATGATAAACTTCCCTACACAGTAGCTACTGAATGTTTTAACGAGTGATTGATAAAAACCTCGATCAATTGATAAGTGTAAACAAATGGATGATGGCCGAAATCAATCCAAGCTGAATTTGATTCCTTGATAAAATGGAGAGTGTAGAGACCAGTAGTTCCTACAACTCCTTGAATTTCACCCATGAGATATAAGTGAGTACTCACAAAGAAAAGAAACGAGATTGGGAGCCAAAAAGCTCATCTCATACCTCAAAGGAGATTGGGAGCCATTAAGCTCATCTCATAGCTCAAGGAATGAAATGAGATTGTGAACCAGAAGATTCATCTCATAGCTCAAACGAGATTGGGAGCCGGGAGACTCATCTCATAGCTCAAATGAGATTGGGAACTAGAAGATTCATCTCATAGCTTAAACGAGATTGGGAGCCGGAAGATTCATCTCATAGCTTAAACGAGATTGGGAGCCGGGAGACTCATCTCATAGCTCAATCAATGAAATGAGATTGGGAACCATTCATCTCATAGCTTAAACGAGATTGGGAGCCAGAAGACTCATCTCATAGCTCGAACGAGATTTGGAGCCAGAAGACTCATCTCACAGTACAATGATTTATGGGCAAATGAGATTGGGAGCTCGAAGACTCATCTCATAATTCAAAGATTCCTCAGAATACTGAGATTGATTTTAAAGAGGTATACTCTTTCATGGTGAATGTTATTAAATACGTGGTCACAAAGTATCTAATGAGAATCTAGATACAAGTATTTATATGAAAGTTCCAGAAGGACTTCGATTTCCCGAAGCAATTAGTTCCAGATCACGGAACATAAACTCAGTTGGGCTGAGATGTTCACTTTAATTATGACTAGAAATATTCTAGAAGAATATAAGACAATTGCCTAAGTGAACAATTGCTCGGAAGAGAATATGTGAACAATAATTGGTTTTGATTGTTCCTATTACTACAATTTATATAAAGGACATAAACTTGATTTAGACTAGAAGTCAAGTAAGAAAAACTCAATTGTTGAAAATTTGAGTTCAAGATCAAAGATCTAAAGAAGACTAATTTCTTGTCCCTACCAACTTCAAATTTATCATGTCAATTGAATTTTTGTCCATCAATCGAATTACATCCAGAAGATGTTATGGATAAAGATAAATTATCGAGAAACACCTATAGGAGTTGGAAAGTGGAATAGGTCCAATGATTCATTTCGTCCCATGGAGAAGGACGAGGAAGTGTTAGCACCAGAAGTGCCATATGTAAATGCAATATATGCATTATTATGCTTAACTCCATGTACTCGATATGATTAAGATTTTTCGGTAAATTTATATGATAGACTTATCTCACCTTACTCTATGCATCAATGAATGAGGCGAAACTTGTGGTTTATATTGGCATTGACTAGAAGTCATATCCACAAAAGGCTCGTTCCCAATCCATGGTTAAGTATTGGGAAAATAGCTATGTCTTGGGATTCTATGAAATGTACATCGGTTATCACTAGATCAAATCATGCATGATGTTTGTTTCACAAGATAGTGAGTGAATGCACTTGGCCTGAAGCCATGATTATGCATGTTCGAGATTCATGTGAATCGACTAACACAAAAGATCCTACGATATTGTATTTTACTGTAATACAGTATGCATTGAGCAAATGAAGACGGGCTTCATTAAAGTGATAACTCCATGTACATAGCTTTGAAGTTTTCTTCAATCAACAACAATAAGAGCTGAAATGATCTAGCAGATCATGATTTAAGTTAACTACGCAAACTTATTTACTAAATCTTCGCCTAAAGTCACTATGAAAATTCATGTTAAGGCTTTTGACTTGCGTAGATTATACAAGCTCGCTCCCTTGTAGACATCAGGGGGAGTTAACTTGAGGGGGAGTACCATGTAGGTACTTAGTATCCAGAAGATACCCGAGTGCCCTGTTGTACTCTTTTTCCTTCGTGCGAGGTTTATTTTTCCCACAGGGTTTTAGTTACTCGACAAGGTTTTAATGAGGCAACATTTGTTGATTGAAAAGATTGTGCGTTGTACTCTTTTCCCTAACCGAGATTGGTTTTTTTTCCAATGGGTTTTATGACTCGGAAGGTTTTAACGAGGCAACACAAAAAGCACAATAGTGGTTTGATAGGAACCCAAGGGGGAGTGTTGTAAATAGTATGGAATGTGTGGTTTCCTAACATAACCACTTGATGGTTTTCAACCTCCCACTAGTGTAAACTTCCCACACCTTAGTCCCATGATGTGTGCAGGAAATAACTTCCATGGAACTTCCATTTGTAACTCCTCCTTGTAACTTCCGGTGGCTTACACCTATATTAATGAGAAAAACTCCCTCCCCATGGATACCCACAATTTTCTCTCTACGGATTCTTGTTCTTTGCATTCTCTCATTCGCTCTCCATTATCGTTATTATGTTCTTATGTATTTCCACAAACACAAACCAAAGAGCTAGATAAATAGGCCATTTTACAACACTATGATTTTTTTTGATGTTTCTTAGCAAGTTGAAGGTTGTAATTATTTTGCTTGGATTAATCCACCAATCTGTGAAATATCCAGTCAGATCATCTCTAGTTTGCTTGGATTGATCCGTCAATATGTGAAAGATCTCGTCAAATCATCCCTGAATTTTAATTGTCTACTAATAGTTTATCCCTTAACCCACCTCATTCTACACTAAAATCAACATCATCATCATCATCAGATTCTAACCATTCACTATGATAGACATTTCATCTCCAGCCAAAATATAACACTAAGGTTTAGAAACTTGCTTAGAATGATGCATTTTGACTGTCATGACTTGATTATACAACACAAAAAATCACACAAGTCAACAAATGAAAAATAAAATCGATAAGATAAAAAATACAAAATGGCCAACAAAGACCTAGAATGTGTTTTTTCAAAAGTATTTTAAACCATTAAAATAATGTACATTTGAGTATTGCCATTGTCATTTTCCAAGGGTGTTGCTATTTTCAGCGGGTCTTTTACTGAATGCAGCGGAAACTTTTTCATTTAATTTTTTTTTTTTAAATTCTCTCTCCTACTCCCAAATCCTCTCTGGAAATTTGAATTTCGTAAATTTTTTTCAACTTTGAATCCGTAGCAAACGAGACTCAACTCCGGTAAATTTTCAATATCCCACTACTTTTAATTAGTTTTATTTACAATTTAGGTAAAAACACATGTTTATGATTAGATCTAGCCAAATTTCGAAAAAAAAAATAAAAAATTTTTGAAGCCTCCGTTTTCTGGAGCACGAAAATTTGAAGCAACTTCAAGTTCCCGTGCTCTGTAGAACGGAGGATTCAAGATTTTTGAATTTCCCGTTCTGGAGCACGGAAATTTGAGGTTTATCAAGTTTTCGTGCTCCAAAAAACGGGAGACTAAAAAAAATTGAATTCTTATTTTCAAAAAAAAAAAATTTGGGGTTCCCGTGCCCTAGAGGACGATTGTTCGTGTTTCCCGTTCTCTAGGGCACGGGAAACACAAGTTCCCGTCCTTTAGGGCACGGGAACCCCAAGTTCCCGGTCTCCACAGCACGATTCAAACTTTTTTTTTTTTCCGTGTTGTGTAGCACGGGAAACCCCAAAAATTTGGGTTCTCGTGCTGCACAACACGATATTACCGCTGAAAAAAAAATTCACTAATTTCTTCAATTTTACCTCGTAGACATCCGAATCGGCCATTATCTTATTTGTTGTTGTCGGGCAATTTATTTATCAAATAAACACGAAATTCTTTTTTTTCGACTTTTTTAAGTTGGGAGCGTTTTACGTATTTTAGAAAGTTGGAAAAAGGTGAAATGAAAGTACTGCTGCAAATAAGCCAATTTCAGTAAAAGTTCCGCTACAATTAGCATTTCAGTTTTCGAAGTAAATCCGACAACATAAACATAAAAAAAAATGGGTTCTTATCAAAAGTTATAAAAATACATGCAAACCCAACATGAAAACTTCAATTGCTACTGTATGATGCAAATTTGGATTTACAAAGATATACCATAAGATTTGATCCGATTCTTCTTATGATGCTAAAGTTAATATAACCTCTCAACTAGAAAGATATCCCTTGGTTAAATAATCCATCTCTTCATCAACCTAAGTTTAGTAATAAACATAAATATTTTTTATTGATGAAGTAATCAATTAATTACAAATAAGTCTGACATGGAAGATTTCGCCTATGATCTTTTTATTTAAATTAAAAAAAGAAAAAAAACAGAATAGAAATAGGAGCAACACAAGAGACAGAAGCTAAAGATGTCATTTCCAAGCAAACTAAGTGAAAGTTTAACAAGCTCATGAAATAAATAAAGGCTATCGAGATCGAATCACATCACATTAGTTCTTGAAGCTTTTAAAGAAAAACACAGACAAAAACAAATTCAAGAAATTGAAAAAAGTGACACCAATCTAAGTCCAAAGGGAACTCGATAGTGTCATCACATATAGAGACCCTCCGGTACGCCTTCTTTCTTCTTGAACATGACCTTGTCCTTAGCTTTCTTGAAATCTGCATGTGTCACCTGCCCATCATATTATTCAGTTTGTTAGAATTGTACTAAAATAAATTCCAACATCTCCATGGCAAATAACTAGATATGCAAATAAAAGAGATTATTGCGTGCAAATTAGTTTATAAAACAACTTGTCAAACATCATGCATGTGCGACACAAGAAACAAAAGAAAAAAAAGGATTATCGTGTGTCCTCCCCCGCATATGCTTATCTAAATGCAAAAGGTTCGAAAAATAATCGGAGCACTAAAATCTCAGCAAAACATCATTTTATTACATGTGGAAGTTCTAACACATGTAATAAAATACTGATATATTCTATTAAGAAGTTTTACAGGTAAAGTTTTCCGAATTTACCTTCATTCGACGCTCTCGGAGAGCATGCAGACCAGCTTCAGTGCAGATAGCCTTGATATCAGCTCCAGAGAACTCGTCCTTTGTCATAACAAATTCTTCCAGGTTGACATCATCAGACAATGTCATCCTTGATGTGTGTATCTACATATCAAACAATACATTACTTGGTGAGGCGAACAGTCGCATTGTATTATTCTGAATACTGTTATGTTAAGCGACAACAAATTACATACCTGGAAAATCCTTCTCTTTGTCTTGATATCTGGGAGTGGAAATTCAATTTTCCTATCTATTCGACCAGGCCTGAGGAGAGCAGGATCAAGGCTTTCAATTTTGTTTGTTGCGAGAATCACTTTCACATCGCCTCTTGAATCGAATCCATCCAATTGATTCAGCAACTCCAACATTGTCCTCTGAATTTCACGCTCACCCCCTGAGTGGGCATCGTACCTATAGAGTGCATTTTCCAATCAGTATCATCCTTCAATATTAATATTTAACATTTTAAAACAACGAATATTTGCGCAGTTACCTTTTTGTACCCACGGCATCAATTTCGTCAATGAAGACGATAGATGGTGAGAGGTCATCAGCAACTCTAAAGAGTTCTCTTACCAACTTAGGGCCATCTCCTAGGTACTTCTGAATCAATTCACTACCAACAACACGCAGGAAAGTTGCTGATGTAGAATTTGCCACAGCCTGAATTTTTTTTATGAAAACAAGAACTTATACAGTTAACACATACAAACACTCATGGAACATATATATTAATCAAATAAAGCAATGGAGTAAAAATAAGTGAAACAACCCCTTGATCAACCCATATTCAGCTCTTTTTGTTAAGCCCATTTTGTAACCAATGCAATTTTAATGGTAAAAACTAAAAAGTAATAAATGAAGCTAGAAGAAACCTCATCTTGTGTGAAAGTTAATTTATAGATGATTAAATCACCAAGTTCAGTCTTCCAAAAAGCTAAACAACTTAATTAGATCCAGAAAAATAGTTAAAAAGAAGAACTTTTACATCTTCCACCTCTTAGATAAATCATCAGTATAGAAAACAGAACCTCATCAGTTAACAAAGAGTAAGAAGTTCGTATTTCAACCCAGATTATAAATCACTAATTGACCAGAGGACGTAAAATATATGACCTTGATGATCGAATGTGATGCAAAATAAAACAACAGAACAAACCTTCGCAAGCAATGTTTTTCCAGTTCCAGGCTCTCCGTAGAGTATGACACCCTTGGGGGGTTTAATACCAATATCTTCATATAATTCAGGGTGTGTTAATGGAAGCTCAACGGCCTCCTTGATCTCCTGGATCTGAGCATCGAGACCACCTATATCAGCATAGGACTCCAACGGAGCCTTCTCCACCTTCATCACAGATACCATGGGGTCCACATCATCTTGAAGCAGCCCAACAACAGAAAGAACCTGTAAACAATGCAAAATATTACAAAATTAAACGACTTTATTATTCGACTCCAACTTCTCAGGCAAAACCCCAAGAAGTATAAACCCGAAAATCATTCAAAGCCACCAAGATAACATACTCGCCTAAACTGTGTAGCTTAAACTATAAAAACCCAATATTTCCCCTCTGCTTTGAGATGCAAAGGACCCAATCTCAACACCAATACATAATTTATTTATCCTAAAAGAAACCCTAACTACCCAAACCCTAAGCAATTCGGAAAAGAAAAAAAACACATATAAATTTCAAAATTGAAGTATGAAATATACCTTATTGTGCATAAGAATCGCACATCCAGGCTCGAGTTGATCCTTATCAACAAACGACAAGATCCCAACGTAATACTCCGGCCCGACCGACGAGGAAACAATCGCGTGGTTCTCGTCAATCAGCTCTTCGAGGTTCCCGACACTCATCGGCGAGCCTCGCAAGTCATCGACTTTGGATCGATCCTCCTCCGTCTTCTCCTCCTGGGGCTTCAATCTCTCCTGATTGGCCACGAACTCCTCCTCCATCAACAGATAGTCCTTGATTCGCTCCAGCTTCAAAAATCGAAGCTTGCACTTGGTCAGAGGCGTCACCGTTGGAATCCGAGCCGCCGCATCGGGGCCCTTCTGCTTCCGCTGCTTGCGGCCGACGCGAGCCGGTGGAGCCGCTGGTTCGAATTTCTTCTCCTTCTTATCGCCGTCGTTTTTACGGTCGGGGAGTTGCCGATTGAGGCCGCCGGGTGTACCTTGACCCATCGTTGAGAGGCGGAATTAGGGATTTGAGATTTGGGGGTTTTCTGTGGGAATTTGTAGTTTCGAAAGAGTTGTCTTTGTGTTCAAGAAATAGACGGGATAGATGGTAATATAAGGATGGTCTAAACTCGGTTCCTTAAGAGCGTGACTTTCACGTGATTTAGGTTATGTTTGGTCTCTTCTTAAATTCCTTTTTTTGTGTTTTCTTTTTCCAAAATTAAATTATTTTATAAATACCTCAACTAAAATTCAAATATTAATTTCTTTAGTATTTGAGTTATTCTTTTAATATTTTCTTCTAATATTTATTGGCATGATTTGATTGTCAAAACTTTGTAGCACGCATACCGAAAAAGGCAATATAGGGAAACTGCCACAGGGAAACGGAATGTCCAAAAAATAGAAATACGGAATCTATGGAGAAACAGTGTAAATATTAAAAGTGTAGGGAGTATATTTATAAATATGCTATACACACATATATCAGGTTTTATTTATATATAATTATTATTTTTCCATACAAATATATTAATAATAAATATTATTATCAACTATCAATTAGTAATTGATTATTAACATGTAAATAATTAGGGAAACAACAAAAGTATTTGGAAATTTGCTATTCAAATATGTTTCTAAGTTTTCAGAAGTTCCAAGTTAGCATTCGGACCGTCCGGCAAGTGTCCTCGAGTATTGAATACAAAACATGTACGAAAAACGGATTCATTGAGAAGTTGATGTTTATCTCATTTCAAATAAAAAAAAACAAATATTAATTTAACTTTCAAATTCTTCTCCATAGTTGTTTTTCACATAATTAAATGGAAACATAGAGGTAAATGAAAGGCCAAAATACATACTTAAATAGGGATAATAATGGGTACAAATTAGAATTGAATGTTTCGATATCGATTAATGAATCTTATATAAATCACTCTAGGATCGGCTCATAAATAATTAATATATTTTTTTTAAAAAGTAAGTGAGTAATCATATTTTGTGCCATTAAAATCTATTTTTTTAGCACTTTGCGCGTCTAAAAATATTAATAGTATTTTTCACTAAACGAAACTCAAGTAATCACTTACAATGTACCACGTGTTGCAACTTCGTCTTTCTGGTGGTATTTTTCTGATCCAAAATACTAATCAAAGTAGTGTTTTCTTCCACCCTTCAATCTAATTTAGAACTTTACAAAGAACCAAAAGAAGATTACTCAATGTTTGGAAACATTTGCGCGGTATGCAAAATTCACAACCATTACCTTACCAAAAGCCCAATAATTAAGTTACAAATAAAAAGAGGCCATTACAATAGAATTATAAGCTACTAATGTGGATGTAGACATGTAAAATATGCATAATCAAATGTAATCCATGCTTCAAATCACCATTTTTTTTAAATAAAACACATAAAATATTTCTTAGTACATTAAACAGTATTTTAAAAATATACATAAATGTCTATAATAATATCGGTGCGTTACGGTAATGCCATAGTAACAGTATTACATAAAACCCTTTTTCCCCACACCGTTATCACCCACCTTCCAGCCATTTCTTCCGATCATTCTCCTCTTGTTCTTCGTACCAAAGCCCCGGATAACATGCCTAAACCGTTTAAATTCGAAGCTATGTGGCTTAGTGACGATTCTTGTCATGACACAGTTTACCATGGTTGGAGCCGGTTACTGGTTCCCCCTCATTCAAGCTCCACTCCAGGATTAAGAATGTCAAAACAGCCTTAAAAACCTTGAACAACAATCACTTTGGCAATTGCAATACCAGAATTACTGAGATCCAGAAACAAATTGAATTGAATCAGAGTAAAGGTAATACCTCAATGAATTTGGCTCTTGACGAGGCTCTTCAACTTGAGCTTGATATCTGGCTTAAAGAGTGGAAACTTTTTTGTGGCAGAAAGCAAAAGACAAATGGCTCCAAGATGGAGATGCAAACACCAGATACTTCCACCTCACCACAATCATTCACTCAAAACCAGAAAAATCTTGTTCATCAAAGACCTTGACAACACCACATTCTCTGACTGGGATAGCATTGGCAACTGCTTTTTGAACTTCTACCAAAACCTTTTTCATTCTGACTTCCCCCAAACCAAATTACTTTTCCCCAAAACTTGGACAACCTTTTTGACTGCCTTATCTTTGAGGAGGATAACCTTTGCCTGAATGAAATTCTCTCTCCTAAATCTATTAAGAGAACTCTCTTCTCTCTTGCTTCCCACAAAAGTCCAGGGCCTGATGGCCTTCCTCCTCTCTTTTACAAAAGTTTCTGGAACACTACTAGAGTTACCTTTGTTGATGCAGTTCAACACTTTTTTCAAAACTGGGAAATTGCTCATAGCTCTTAATAGTACTTTTATTGCTTTACTTCCCAAATCTCCTAAAGCTTGTAGAGTTGATCACTTTAGACCCATAAGTCTTTGTAATGTCACTTATAAAACCATTTCAAAAATCCTGGCTAATAGATTTAAAGAGCACCTTGAAAATTTTATCTCCATTTCCAGATGGCTTTTGTTAAAGGAAGAGATATCCATGATAATACCATTGTCTCCCATGAAATAATGAACCTCGTTGACACAAAAAAAAAAAAAAAAAAAGGTAAATGTGTCATGGCAATTAAGGTGGATTTAACAACTGCATTTGATATGATTGAATGGAAATTGCTTCTTAATATTCTATCTATACTTGGATTTTCTAACACTTTTTCAGGTTGGATTGAGGAATGCATCTCCACCTCTAGGCTCTCATTCTTAATCAACGGGGCTGCTTATGGCAATATGCAACCAACTCGAGGAATTAGACACGGAGATCCTCTCTCCCCTTTCATTTTTGTCACTTATATTGAATTGCTCTCGAGATTGCTTACTTTTGAGGAAAACAATGGCAATTTCAAAGGGATAAAAATTTCTAGAACTAGTCATTCCATCTCTCACCTCCTCTTTGCTTATGATCTTGTCATCTTTTGTAGGGCAAACACACAAGATGCAACATGTATTAGAAATACTCTCAATAAGTTCTCTTTGTGGTCCAGTCAGAAAGCCAATACCTCTAAATCCTTGGTCCACTTCAGCAACAACACCCCTCCTCAGCTTAAAGTGGATATCTTGAGCATTCTTGACTTTAAAGAATGTGACCATGTGGCTAAACACCCGGGCTTTCCCTTCTGCCACCTCTCATCTAGGAAGGAAGCTTTCCAAGAAGTTACCAACAAGATTTCCTCCTGCCTTAGTGGATGGAAATCAAAGACTCTTTCTCAAGCCAGTAGAACCATTCTTTTAAAAGCAGTGCCTCAAGCTATTCCTACCTATGTCATGTCTATTGATCTTCTGCCTCTTAGTACATGCACTCTCATTTACTCCATGATGAGGAAATTCTAGTGGGGTGAAAACTCTAATGGTAACTCTTTGATACTCAAATGCTGGGATGCCATTTGCACACCAAAATCTTCTGGAGGGTTGGGATTCAGGAGAATGGCGGATTTCAACAGTGCCCTCCTTTCTAATCTTGCTTGGAAAGTTGTTGTGAACCATGACTCTCTGTGGGTGAAGCTTTTCTCTTCCAAGTACCTTCGTGGCAAGTTCTTTCTTTCCTCTGATCTGTCCAGTCCTGGCTGCTCGTGGATTTGGAATCTCATCAGAAAAACAAGGGCAGTCATCTCCAAGGGAGCTTGTTACCGTATTAATGTTGATTCAAATGTTCTTGTTTGGCAAGACCCTTGGATCCCGTCCCTTCCATCATTCACTCCTCCATCTCTTTCTCATATTCTGTGTAACACAATTGGGCTTGTTAAAAATCTTTTTCTTGAAGGGAGTCTTTTTTGGAACACTAATCTTCTCAATAATATTTTTTCTCCAAATTGCTAGAAAGATCATGAAGATCCAAATATCCCCAGTGGCAAAGCCAAAGTCTCTTGTTTGGGCTCCCTCCAAGTCATGGGCCTTCTCAACCAAGAGTGCATACCTGACTGATCAACAAACTCGTTTTCTTCAAAACTCAAACAAATTTTCTTTCCCATGGTGTAATCTCTGAAGATGCATAATAGGCACAAGTTGCTCTTTTGGAAGATCATCGTGGATGTTCTCCCCACCAAGATAAGGCTTAACAAACTTTTCCAAGTTTCCTCCCTTGATTGTTTTCTCTGCAGATCTGATGTGGAAAGTGTGGATCATGTCTTTCTCCAATGTCCGTTTATACAACAAATTTGGTTCATCTCTAAATACAAGCTCCGGGTTGATCCTTTTCGAAATGAACCAATCAGAGATTAGCTATCCCTTATTTTTTACAAGAAATCCTCATTTCTTCACTCTCAAATTCAAAGGGAGGAGTTCACTATTTACTCTGTAGTTCTTTTTGACACTATTTGGTGGTACAGAAATAAAGTGGCTCATGGCTCTACTTCTCTTTCTTTGCAGAAACTGTTGAAAATTGTAGAGACGAAAGCCGAGGATCACTAGAAATGTCAGCTCAGCATCATGATCAAGGCTGGTTCTCCCCCTTCGAAAGTGTTGGCAGGCCCCCCGTTCTGGTTGGATTAAAACCAATACGGATGCTTCTTTTGACCGAGGAACTGGTTTCTCTAGCTGTCTTATTAGGAACCACCAGGGCTCTATCATTTTTGCTTCCACAAAAAAGCACCTCTGCATGGATGCGTTGATGGCTGAATGTATGGCAATTCTTGAAGCTTGCAAATTTCTAGATTTTGCCAAAGCTCCTTTTGTAATCATCGAATCTGATTGTTTGCAAGCAATCAGCTTGATCCACAATAAATCCTTCTGGAGGGTTCAATTCTTGATTGATGAAATCAAGAGGTTTTGGGGAAGATGGCCGAAATGGAGATTCTCTTTTATAAATAGAAATGTTAATTTTGCAGCTCATCATTTAGTTAAATGGGAAGTTTTGTCTGATTGGGAAGGGCATATTCCTCTTCAGCTTATTCCTTCTCTTTGTTTTTGTTATGGTGAATATCCCACTATAGACGTTTGTAATTTCTCTTTTTACTAATGCATTCTTTTATTCATCAAAAAAAAAAAAAATAGTAACAGTATTGGATACCATTACCCTACCAAACAAAATCGAGACGGTACGACAAAGCACAATTATCATTCGATAGAAACCTTTTGGTATAAAATCAAAATAGGGTTCTTGGTTATTAGGGTATTTTGGTCAAAATATTCACCGGTGTGAACCAAAAGGACAAAGGTGGAAAATTCAAAGATTCACTCAAAAAATAATAATAATAATGGACTAATAAATGAAACAAACAACAGCCGTTGATTGAGAGCCTTTCTTGTTTCTTCAACTTGCAAGATTCACCGGATTAGTGAACAAAAGAAAATATTACATTCTACAGGTCAAATTAAAAACTTGAACCTTGTTTATTTCTAACCTAATGTAAAAATGAACCATAATATACATACATATATCTATATATATATATTCTCCGAGGGAAGGGCAAAATGGTCTCAAGAAAAAGACACCACTTGCCTGTTGGCTCCCATAGCTTTATTCTCTTCCCCATTTGTTTGATGCCTTCCCTCTAAAAGGTGACTGATCCCTGGAAAATTCTCCTCCATCTTTGAAAATCACCTAATTATTACATTTTTGTATATTCTCACTATCCCAACAAAATTAAAATTAAAATTAAAAAAAAAAATCCAGTAAGAAAAACTGATACTAAGGTTATAATTACAATATAGTGTGTTAGCCAGAGGTTCTAGTGAACACTACTCTCTCTTGTCGCAAAATTTTGCTTATCTTTCGGGCAAAATCAACCTGCAAATTGCAATAAAATCATGTTATTTTGTGACCAATCATAGGTTCGAGACACCAGAAGGGGAATTGGGGAACCAGTAACTATCGTCTTTTTTTAAGAGAAAAAAATTAAAAAAAATTATTGTATTCACAATATGTAGCTACTTTTTTGGTGAAGTAACATGAAAACTTCCGACAATTTTCTTATTACCTTGCCGATTATCTGGATTTCCGATGTCTCTGCTTGTACTCGGTTTATTTGTACCAGGCCTCGCAACTCCTTGGTTCTGCAATGTATATATTTATATATATACATACGAATATTCTTCAAAATAATAACTAAAAAAGTCGATATGTAACTATTAACTAGAGCCATATCGCTAACTGATATCTGCACAATTGGTCCCTTGTAAAATCGATCGAACAATCTAACCAAACCAAACGAAGCCTTAGTCTAAAGTTTGTAGGGTGAAAACAAGACTTGCCTGTGGTAATTGTGAAGGATGGAGACCGTGGAATTGCTGATAGGGGTCGACAAAGTTGGGCATGTGTGCCTGGTTCTGATTGTGGGGAACAGCTGGATTCGGAATAGGGTCCGTTTGGTTACAAGGTTGGTGAAACCCCGGCATGGGAAACCTAGGATTCGGCATCGGCATAGACGGGTACTGAACCATGGGCGGTCGGTTCATTCCCATCTCCATTCCCATTCCCATACCCATTCCCATTCCCATTCCCATCGTAGGCATGTATTGTTGCATACCGGGGTACATCATGGGTACCATTCCACATCCCATCGACATCATCTGCAGTAAGTATATATTAGTTGAAATAATAACAAACCCGGGAATTAATATTAATTAATTATTAATTAAATTAAAGAAGATATAATATAAGGATCTAAAATTGAGATTAACCTGCACTTGCACTTGAAGTGATTTCAAGTACTCGATAGCCTCGTCCAACATCGAGGCTTTGTCCGACTGAATTCGAAACGAGAGAGATTAATATAATATAATGTACAACACTGACAATGTAATAGTCAGCTCTTATTAGGATAGTTGGTACCTAGCATCTAATATCTCAATTTGTAACAGCATTTGAATTTAAAAAAAAAAAGAACGACGCACGTAATAATTAACGAAAAAATTAATACATACCTTGTTGCAACGAGGTATGAGTTCTTGGAGTGCCTTCATTTTTTCGTTGATCCTATCCCGACGCCTCTGCAAAGAGTAATTAACACCAACATTTGCCAAGTCAATTTATCAGATGTTTTAAGATAAAAACATTAATAATTAAGGCATCGAAATCACTAAAAATAAAATTAAAACATGGTACGATATTACATATACGAACCCTCTCAGACAGGTTGTGAACTTGTGCAGCACGAGATCTCTTCGTCGACGCCGAGCCGCAGACTTGCTTTTTAGCTTCACCGCCCGCGACTTCAAACTCGATATCCTATATATATAATATAAACATCAGTTCCTGTTTTAATTCTCTTGATAAATTTACAATATTACTGCATACATTAAACGTAGATCGTGCTCCGTTAATAGAAACGGACTTCAAACGACGACGAATATGATTAACTATTGAGGACTTGAATGTCATTGATACACAATATATGAAATTAAATAAAGATTTATTTAATGCAATATATACTTATGACTTATCTATATATATATATATATATATGTATGTCTCTGGTGAATGCGAAGCGTCAAGGCACATATGGTTGGTTGGGACTTAAAGACAAATAAAAATAGGTCAGAGGAAGAGGAAGAGGAAGAGGGGTGAGTCCCGTGATCCCGCGCTAAAAACTTGGCGCCAAAAAACTATACTGTTTTCTTTGTTTCGCACCCTCCACGTGGCGGGAAACTATTGCATTATCCTGTCCCTGCATTCGCGACGCCTGCCACGTGTGACGGACACGTATGGACTACTGATTTGGTGCGGCAGCCGCCGCCCTATGCTAACAACTATGCACGGCCTCAGTACGTAAGACACGACGACACTGGGCTTAGGCGCATGTTAGAAGCGGCCCGCACAACTTAACCCAGTTCGGCGATAATTAAATAATCAATAAAATTAATATAAAATAATATTTGGATTTATTTTATTTTATTTGTTTTTTAGTTTTACTGAAAAAAAAAGAGGGTACGGTACAGCGCAACAACAGCCAGCGCATTGCTTACCTCACTCTGACATTCATTTTCATCCGCCTCTCTGGCTTTCCGTTTCCGGTTATTCAAAGGCGGCGGAGGCGGCGGCGGTGGCCTCTGCTGCTGCTCCCCGCTGCCGCTGAAACTGGCGCGGGAGCCACCGGGTGATGACGTCACGCTGACCTCACATGTACCTGCTGCTGCCAATTCTCTTGCCGGAGCAGTGCCGCTCTCTACAATCACTTGCTGCGGCCGGCTGCTATCCACAATCCTGTGAGAGAAACTAGACTGCCGGGCCGCCGCCGCCGGCGTCTCGTTTGACTCCACCACCGTCGCTTCTCTCGCCGCCGTAATTACCGAGGTCTTGTTCGTCGTTGTTGTTGTCTCGGTCCGTGGCCTGATCGGGAGCCTCGAGAAATGCATGAAGTTCTGCAGCCGGGGGGGATTATCCGGCGGCGGTCGAATTGCGCCCGGCGGCTGGGGGACGGCGTTGACAGGAGGCGGAGCGGGAAAAAGGAGATCGGCGTACAAATCACGATCAAAGGAGGAATCGTCGAGTGGGTACTGAAGCCAAGCAGACATCTCATCCTCCTGCATAAACAAATGCTGCTGCTGTTGCTCGTCGCCGCCGGCCGGACGCATCTCCCTCTCCGCCGGAATCATCACACCGCCGCCGCCGCCGCCGGTCTTCTTGGGCAACCTCTGATTCTGGGTCTGCACCACCACTTGCCCGTTCTGCCATAGCAACTCCATAATCTCCTCTTCACCACTACTAGAATTACTCAGAAACAAACACAAATCAAAATCCCCAATTCCCAATCTCATACATATAATATAATTAATTAATCCCCATAAATTAAAAAAAAAATAGAGAATAGAAGAAATAATTACGCAGTAGCAGCAGGCTTTTTACGGGGTGGAATAGAGTAGTTGTGTTCCATATCCTGAAAATTGGGAACTCTGTGATTCATCCTCTGTTTCTTCTACACTCTTTTCATATTAATATTAATATTAATATTAATCAATCCCCAAGAACAAAAACACTTCCAAATTCTCACCAAATTAATAAATAAATAAAATTAGACATACATACCAATAGAAGAAGATATATAGTGAATTTAATTCTGTAAATATGATAAGGTGTTGGATCCAAAAGGGGGGAGAGTTTATACTTTATGTGGAGAGTGTGAAATTAAAGTAGGGCATTCTGCTATAATTGTTTGTGTGTGTGTGTCTCTCTCTCTATATATCTATTTCTTTCTCTCTCTAAGACTCTAATTAACTATGGTTAGTTTGGTTTGGGTGGGGAGGGGGGGGGGGGGGGGGGGTGGGGAAAAAATGGAACGTTAGAACCCTAACGGAATAACGTATAAATCCAATGCGTTATCCCATTGGGGATTCTAACTATGTTTCCGGGGGTGAATGTAATTATCAATACCACATGGACCTTAAAGTTATTTTAGCATACCTCAGGGGTGTGGGTGTAATTTACCCATAAATAAATAAACGTTTGGAATGCCACACGTGCAAAGAATGATGGGAAACGGGCATGTAATCTTGATATCACACATAAACAAATGGTTAAACAATGCTTAGTTTAGATTGTTAATAATAAGCAAAACTTGTATGTATGAGCTCCACTAATTTATTCAAAAGTTGACTTTCTATATTTAATAGTGACGGTTTATACCGTTAATTGTACTAATTAAACAAATCTAAGTAAACATCACCTACCTATAGCTAGATTACTTATGTACATTAAGATATTAGTGCAATGATAAATGGTAGAAAAACCACTTTGACTAATAATGATTAAAAGTGGACAACTTGGATTTAAAAAATTAATAA